GCAATGGCAGGAAGAGTGGATCCATGAAGAGTCAGGATACTCCGTTGACATCTTCTTAAGGGATGCAAAGTGATGGTAGAGGTGAAAACCATTCTCCTCCTCCTCCTCTCACACCCTACGCCTCCCCTCCTCGCTCTTCCTCTCCTTTTTGCCTCCTACCTTACCTCCTCCTCCTCCGCCACCGCCGCTGCCGCTACCACCACCACCACATCATCATCATCATCATCATCATCATCCCCCTCTTCGCTTCCTCCATTTAATATCTGCTCCTGCATTTCGCTGGGCTGCAGGTCGACGGTCCTCTGCACTTTGCCTTCAAGACGCGCAAGGCCCTGGGAAGCACCAAGATGAAGCGAAGACATCTGCAAGAGTCTCGGTCACAAGGATACAGGCTGCTCGTGGTGACAGCAAACGTTGCTGAGAAGAGTGTTGACATGATTCTTAGATTCCTTACTGGGAATGGAACAGTCAGAAGATGGTTGATGACGTCGATGGTGGTGGGGTCAAGAAGGTCCAATACCTCAAGACCAAGCTGGAATCTATCGGGGAGACTCGAAGGTGATTGGTATGTAGATTCACGATCCTTTAGAAGGTTTGTTAGAGCCCGTTGGGTCTTGTGTACACTAAGTTGAATGAAGTATGTGTCAACACACTCTGATGGATCTCCTTCATTCGCGTTTGTTGTCTCGCATGACTTCTGGATTCTCCCATGGCTACACATTGCGTGGTGCAGGACAAGAGCGACGAAAGGGGAGACGCGGACGAGGACAGGGAGGATGACGATGACGAGGAGGAGGAGGAGGAGGAGGAGGAGGAGAGAGCGAGAGGAGGAGGAAAAGGAGGAGGAGGAGGAGGTGGTGGTGGTGGTGGTGGTGGAGGAGGAGGAGGAGGAGGAGGAGGAGGTCGAGGATTTTGGTTTGCCGGGAGTCGGGCAGATCCTAGGATATGCCACCCTACCCCTCAAGTTACCAGAAGTTCTTCAGGTAATAGGGGGTTACCTGAAACACGCCTGGAGGGATTGGCCGCATTGCACATGGCAGGGGAGAGGAGGGGGAAGAGGAGGAGGGGGGAGGAGCGGGAGGGACGAGGAGCGAGGAGGAAGAGACGATCGTGAGCAATGAAGATGACGATGATGTCTTTTAGCTGTCTCACGTGGACAGCCTTGATCGTTGTCGCCATCCAAGGGGAGGTACCCACCAGCCCCGCCCAGTTGTCTCTCCGCTCCATGGCGAGTGGGGTTCGTCAGCCTGGTTGCAGCATGTTGCGTCTTCGTGGAGGATTCTTCCAGATCGTAGACAGGTACGTGCACATGAACTCAGAAGAAGCAGATGACATTGCTGAGTTCGACGCCATGGTCACTTACGGTCTGCGATCGAACTTCACGATCCTGAAGTACAAAGAGAAGGCGAGGGAAGAGAGGAAGATGAAGATGAGGATCTTCGAGACCAACAGGATCCTAGAGACGATGAGCGAGCAGACAGCGCGTGAGGTTGCTGCGAAATTAAGATTCAGATCCTTCAAAGAGATCGAGGCAAGGGCAGCGGTGACGGCGGGAAACGGGAGCAGGGGTGAACTTTTCTCCAGGGAGCATTTTTACATCAACGAGGTCAAAGACCTGTGCGACATGAGGGAGAAAGGAACTCTAAGAAACAGGCTGAGGATCAGCAAACCAGCATACGAGGAGCTTTGTACAGTCCTGCAAGCTTACAGTCGGAGGCAGCCCTTGCCAGTACACGCCACGAGCAAGATATCAAAGGAGATCGAGCAAGGAGAGAATTTTACCCTCTACTACCACACGGAGGTCCAACGGCTCAGAGAGAGACTGAACTTCTCAATCTCGGAGGAAGATGTAGGAGATTACACGTCTGAGGAGATGGAATCTATCAAGGTCGCTGACGAGAACGGCACCGACTACTTCGTGCAACTTCCTTTGCATGACGACGAGCGGTTTAACAACATCTCGAGCCCCTTGGACAATCTCTTGAAACTTGATCTCCGAGATGAGCACAAGTTGAAAGAATTCCTATCAGTCGCCTGGGGCAAGCAGAACATGTTGGATTACGTCACCAAGAAGAACAACATGACTCAAGATGAGTTGATTGTAAGCTCCCTTCCACCTGCACTCTTACTCTTTCCTCTCGTCGCATCCTCCCCTTCCCTCCTTCGCTCTCCTCGCCTCTCTCTCCCCCTCCCTCACCTCTGAACCGCCCTCCCCCATCAGGCCAGGAAGAAATTTCTTTCCTTCGACCCAGATCAAGAATGGCTGAAACAAGCGGCTGCGATGCTGACGGACAAGGAAAAGTTCGAGGTGAAGCTTTTTGCTGTCTGCTGCGGAGGAAAGGGGAAGTGGGTGACGAGGATCAGGCGCTGGTGAGGAGAGGAGCCATGGTGAACATCTCGTTACAACTTCTGTACGAGAGGAGGTCAAGTCTGATGTGTGTGAAGCAAACCATGACTGGACGAGCAGAGCTTTGAAGAACAACCTGACCCTCACTGAGATCACCACCGAGTCTTTTGATAGACTTCCTGCCTACCTTGCTCGGTAACCCCTCCTCTTCCTGACTCCACTTGTCGACCTTCTGTCCTCTACCGTCGTCTCCCTCCCCGTCCCTCGACTGGCTCTACTGTCTCCCTCCTCCCCCCCCACCTGCTCCTCGCTATGGCCTTCCCCTCCTCCTGCTCTTCTTCGCTCCATCTCAACAGCCAGCAGGTCACCCAAGTACAACTACACGGAACGAGACGTCAGCTGGAGGACGAGCATAGACACAAGGAACTACGCTCCTCCTCCTGACTATGCTCCCTATGCGACCGGCTCCTACCGCGGCGCCTGTCCGATTCCATGCGGGGTACCGGGCTGCTTCATGTATGGAGGAGGAGGATGGAGAAGACGGAAGGGAAGGGAGGGGAAAGGAAGATATGCTCGTGTTGGATAGGATTAGGAGGAGGAAACCTGTAGAGGAGGAGAAGAGAAAGGAAAGGAGGGGAGGGGAAAGAGGAGGAGGGCCTGACCTGTGATGCAGTTGCGAAGAGTCGGACCTTCCTGATGAACTGAATCCAATAATGCCCGAAGATGAATATCGCGTGCCTCTACATCAGCGAAGGTGAAGGACATGCTTGCATTGTTCCTAGGACTTCTCTCCTCCTCCCTCCCCCTCCCCCCAACCGCCTCGTCTGTCCTCCTCCTCCTCCTTCCCCTCCTTCTGCTCCTGCTCTTCCTCCCCCTCCTCCTCCTCCCCCTCCTCCACCTCCCCCTCCTCCCCCTCCTCCTCCTCCTCCTCCTCCTACCAGCGCTAGCAACTGTCCTCGTCCTCCTAGTCCTCCTCTAGCCTCGAACTTGTTTCTCACCCTCATTCATCGCAGGCGCATCGACCAGGCGAGGGCGAAGGCCTTCCAGGGGCTGAACGAGTCACAGGTGAGGTTCGACTGCTCGACTGGAGCTGACAGCCGGCAGATCAAGGAAAGAGACTTCATCGCCAAGAACAAGTCCGAGACAACAGGTCCTCCTTGCCTGCCCACCTGACTTGACCTGCAGAGTCTTCGGGGGGTTGAACCTGACCAAGTTCAAGCTGCACAAGGACACTGAGAGAATGATCACGAGCATCTTGAGCCCCAAGATCAAGAAAGCGTAACCGCCTGCTCCCAGCTCTGCCGCGTCTCACCTGACTTCAGTTACTTCCCCGTCTTCAACTTGGAACTCTCTGTCCGCCGCCCCGACGGGTCGAAGATCGTAGTGGACGAGTTCGACACGCTGACGGGGAGCAAGTACTTCAAGGGAGGCAAGCGGAGCATGTTCGACGAGGCGTCATACAGCGTGAACATGTCCATCGTCGACGACCAGGCGTATAGGACCAGTCTTAGAGCTCGGAGGAGCGAGATGCTGGGTGAGGGAGAGCAGGAGGGAGGGAGAAGGAGGAGAGAGGAGGAGGAGGTCGTGCCGGAGGAACCAACCCGAGAGGAGAAGCTTGCGCTGCTGCGATCAGGTGAATGGGAGGATGTTGTTGGGGTAAGGTGACAACCATGGCAGGGAAAAGTTTAGCTGACGTGTCGTTGATGAAGACGACAAAGACAAGGGAGGAGAGGGAGACGCGATCAGATCAGCCGTCAAGCTCAAGACAAGAATTAAGAAGCAGGAAATCAAGAGGAGAAGGAGAGAGTGATGGAATGGCGAAGAGGAAGAAAAATAGGAACGATGAGGAGGAGGAGGAGGAGGAGGAGGAGGAGGAGGAGACGAGAAAACCAAAGAAAAAGGACAAAGTGAAGGAGGACACGAAGGGGAAAGAACGAGATGAGAAGGAGAAGAACAAGAAGAAGAAGAAGAAGGAGAAGGAGAAGTCAGAAAGTGTGGCCGACGATTCATCGGGTAAGGCAGCAACATAATTGTTCGACTTTCACTCATGTACATTTCTCAAGCATCTACATGGAAGGCGGAACCCGAGGCAAGGAGTGAAACGCATGGCAACGACATTCTCGAGTATGAGAGGTCATCAATAAGCTTCGATTGAAATCTCTCTTCTCGTCTTTCCTTCCCTCCCCCCCCCCCCCCCCCTCTTCCTCTCTTCTCGAGTGCTCCTCTTTCTCCGACTACCCTTCTGCCTTGACCTCGGGAATTTCTTCCTCAACCTCCTCCTTCACCTCTGGTTCCTCTGCTGCCTCCTCTATCATCGCTTCCGTCATTTTCTCCTCTGCCACTTGACCCTTCTCCTCTTCCTGCCCCTCCTGCCCCTGCTCCTGCACCTGCTCCTGCTCCTGCTCCTGCCCCTTCCCCTTCCCCTTCTCTTCCTCCTGCTCTTTCTCCTCCTGCTTCTGCTCAACCGTCGATTCCGCCTCTCCTCCTTCCTTCGCCTTCTCCTGCTGCTCTGGTCGGGGCGGGAGCTGCTTCCGCTTCTTGCTCGGCATCCTGCCGGCGGCGCAGAGAATTCCGCTGGAAGTCAGAGGGTTGTAGACCTGCAAGAGGGATGGGGAGTCAGAAGCGATGAAGGAGGAGGAGGAAGAGGAGGAGGAGGAGGAGGAGGAGGAGGAGGAGGAGGAGAGATAGAGGCGAGAGATGGAGGGAGAGGAAGAGCAGAGGGAGAAGGGAAGGAGGGGGAGGGAAACATCGGAGGAGAGTGTCGAAGGGAAAAGGGCCAGGGAATGACCTCGATGAACTTGATGCGGTAAGGGTCTCCCGAGGAAGGAGCCAAGGGTCTGAGCACAGGCGAGTCTCGCAGAGGCTTCAGCTTCCTGTTTGCCATTGCTGATGCCCTCAGCACTTCCTCAGCAGCAGCAGGGGCGGCATGATGGGACATGGAGGACTTGGATCGAACGTGTCCCACCACCTTCTCTCTCCTCGCCACCTCCAACGAGCTTCTTGGCCTCTCCTCCTCTCCCCGCATGTGCGGGCCGCACTGCGCCGGAGGACGTTGCTTCCTCCACCTTGACGCTCCGGCCTTGGTCGACTTCGTCCTTTCCTTCTTGGTCTTCAGCTTGGGCAGGAAGCTGTCGCTCTCCTCCCTCGGCTTCTTCTCTTCTTCCTCCTCCCTCACAGCCTCCTCTCCTCCTCCTTCCAGCATGTCGGGGGAGCCTTCGGACCAGTCCTGGAGATCGTCCAGGCGCTTGTTGAGCTCTTCCATCTGGGCGTCAAGGAGGGAGGAGGAAGGGAGGGCGGAGGGCTGAAACGCCGGGCGATGATCATCGTCCGTTGACGTCACGTCCACTGACTCCCCGAGCACGCGAGGATGCCCCAGCCCAGAGAGCTCTGCTGCTGCCCCTTCTCCTTCTCCTTCTCCTTCTCCTGGGTATTCAATCACTACTTCTCCTCCTCCTTCGGTTCCTTCTGCTCCTTCTGAACCGGCTTCCCCTGCTGCTCGGGATAGTCTCCCTCCCCCCTCCTCGTCCTGCCCTCTCCGGATGACGCGGATCGCCTGCTCGCGGCTGCGAGGCGACATGATTCTCAGGGCGAGCGAGAGGTTCTTCTTTCTCATCCTCTGCAGGGCGACGAAGGAATGGCTGCGAAGCCTGCCCGAGCCGATGTCAGCCGCCAAGCCGGAGAGCGAGAGGAGGTCACTCCCATCCTGTGCTATGTGGAGCTTCTCCTCCTCCAGCAGCCTGCGGAAGCCCTCGACCTCGTCGTCGATCTCTGCGGCCCGGAGGCGGGAGGAGGCGAGGGTGAGCTTGTGCTGCGAGATGTCAAACCTCTCCCTCCACATCTTCCAGGCCTCATGCTCGCTGTCCCCCTTGCTCTTGTGCTGCAACAGCCGCCCGAAGATATCCTCCCGCGTCCACGCGTACTGCAGGAACTCGTCAAAGTCGATGGAGTTGCTCCCGTCCGTGTCCGCCGCATCCATCAGGTCCTGCGCGAGCTGCCGCGCCATCGGCTCCTCGATCTGCTTCCCCAGCGTCGACATGATGTCCTTCACCATCCTCAGAAGCCCATCCTTTCCCATCTCCTCCGTCCCCTTCCTCCTGTACTTGTTGAACGTGTACTTCCACATCAGCAGCGGCCCGAAGACCTCTGGCTGGCTGGAGATGTAATCTTTCACCTCTTCCAGGTTCACCCGGTCCCTTCCCGTCCTCCCGCACGTGCGAAGGCACTGCTCCGCCTGCGCCTTCGCGGAGCTGAAGGAAAGGCTCTTGTTGAAGGCAGAGGCGATCTCCTTTAAACAGAGTTCCACCTCCTGCAGGAAGAGAAACCCGTCCTTGTCCGCGTCGTAGGAGGAGAAGATCTCGTCTATAGTCTCCACGTCGGAAGCCCGAGGGATCCACTCTCCTCCTCCCTGCCCCTTCGCCTCCCGCAGCTTCTCTCGGTGCTTCGCGTTTCTCTTAATGAATTCTTCAGTCTCCTGCTGCAGTGCCTCCACCTTCCTCCTCTCCGTCCGCCGCTTCTGCGACGCTGTGATCACCTTGGTCACCAGCTCCGAGCTCGACACGAGGGAGAGGTCTGGGTCCAGCGACACGTTGGGGGTCCGCAGGCGGGTCCTTGAGGAGGAGGACAGCCTGCTGTCCTGTCGGATGGTCTCGTCATCGGCTGGGACCCTGTGGGAGGAGAAGGGGCGAGCGATTTGGTCGAGAGGAGCCGTACAGTCTGTGAGGTCGAGCTTCGCCTGCTCGATCTCCGACTGGTTGATGGAGAGACAGCAATCCTCGCAGACTGAGACAAGCCTTCCCTCGAACGAGGGGTTCGTAGCAGCCCACAGCACAATCTCTCTCATCCTCTCGAAAGAGATTTCTTTCTTCTTGAAGACAGAAGCCATGATGATCGTCCGGAGGTAATGCCTGCAACAAGAATCACACAAGAAAGCTCGCCTTAGTCAACATGTCATTGCAATCATGATAGAAACATATGCATAAACTTCACCCACCTGTCTTTATCGAAAGCCTTCTTCTCTGCCTCTATCTCCATTTTGTGTGCATGTTCAGCATTGTAGGATGATCGGACCGGCACGTATCGCCGCCTCGACGGGTTTCTTGGGAATTTCGTTTCGATCGTCTCGCCATATTTGATGTGCCTGGCCGCCCCAGCACTCTCTATGTACTCAGACCAAGATCTATCAGTTTCTCTCATCCTCTGCACAATATCGCGCTCCCTTTCGATGGCGACGTAGAGGAGCGGGCAGATCTTTCTGAGGAGGGAGAGATATCTTACCTGCCACAGAGTTCAACGCATGCAGCGTGAACGCAACACGGATATATCAATAGCAAGACAGGGCAGGGCAAGAATTACAACGAGCGACAGCCAACAACCACCTGTGCGTTTGCGACTCACCTTGTACTCGATTGCATTGCAAATTGAGATGTCCCTTGCACAACTTGGACAGAGTCCGATGTCCGGGCCCAATCCCTTATCCGTATCATGCTTGCCATCCACTGCTTCCACAACCTCGCCGTTGAACTGCGAGCTCTCAATACACTTGGGGGTGGAAGGACGCTGATTCGTCGCTCCCTCGTGGTTCTCCTCAGTCATGAACTGCAAGGAGGAGCACCACAGCAGGTACAACCTTCCATCGACCCCCATCTTGAAGTAGAACACTCCTCGCCATATCCGGTGAGTAAAGGGCAGGAGGGAGGAGAGGTGTTCTACGATCCACTCAAGCTGCTCCGCAATCTCATCGCGAAGGTCCTGACCAGGAATGTTCCTGATCTCAGACAAGTGCAAGAATCCGTCGAAAGTCGCTGCCCGGGTGCTGAGAGGGATATGAGGAGAGTCAATGTCATGGATGTTCGCCCGTTGCTCAATCTTGAGGCAATGCGGTGTCCACCAAGCTCGGATCACAGAGTTGGAGCCGCCTGGAGGGGGGATGTGAAGCTGGAGGATACCACTTCTGTCGTCGCATCGCAGTCTCTCGTAGAGGTACGTCCTCAGGGAGTCCACATCGAAGTACTCCACGGTCGAAGTCCACTCGTTCTTCTGATCATTCCACTGGGCTGCGATGAGGTATGCAAGGACAGTGCTGGAGGATAAGACAAATCCTTTCCTCTTGTAGGCCTGACAGATCCCTTCATGAAGCAACCTCGGTTGCAGGTCAGTGATTTTCTCCCTCCGGTGTATGACACTGTCATTCGCAGAAATCCATGCAAAGGCTCGCCGTTGCTTGATGATGATTGTATCTGGAATCAGGTACTCTGCTTGATATACAGGAGCGTTTCCTGCGTCTGGATCGGAAGCAAGATAATCAAAGAAAGTATTGATCCAGTTCACGTTTTCAAGCTGGTAGGCAGCAGGCAATGATAGTTGATTTCCTTTTTTAAGAGTCTTTTGTAACGTAGACCAGTACTGTAGTTCCAAACTTTCGCGAATCTTGTCGCTGATCTTTACATCGTGTAGGTAGGACAAATCTTCATCCGTGCCTAGCTGTTCCCTTGCTATGGAGGTGCGATCATGGGCTCTTTGCTTCATTAGAACTGTAGCAGGAATGGTTTTCAAATCCTGACGGAGATATCGCACTTGTCGTTCATTGATGTCATTGTAAACCTATCTGACTCATGGTTCCCCTCCTGCCTTGTACCAACTCATCGGCTTCACTGATCAAACGTGTCACAGAGCAGCAGCAGCAGGTCATGAGCATCTGACTGTGCAGTGCTGCCCCTTCCTCTGCCGCCATCATCCCGAACCTGTCAACCGATCTCAAACCGTCCAACCCCCCCACCCCCTTTCTCCCCACCATCTACCAGTGGGGTTGACTGGTGGGGGCAACGGCCGTCTCGGCCCGCGGCCGGGCGGGGCAGTGCTCAGTGGCCGGCCCGGCGGGGGGGGGGGGGGCCGCCGGCCGGGCGGGCCGGATGATGTGGCCCCCCGGGCGGCCCCCGGCCGGGCGGACGGCCCGCCGCCGTCGGAGCCGGGACTCCGGCGGCCTCTGCAGCCCCGCCTTCACCGTCACGGGGAGCCGGGACCGTCCGCCGGAGGCTCCGACGGCTACGAAGGCTAGCCTGAGTACGGTTGAGAACATGACTCAGTGATGATCGGGCGTTGGACTCGGGCGTTGATTCGCTAGGACAGCCTCAGCCGGGGAGGCTGGGGCCACGGGTGACGCTGCAGGCCGGTTGCCGGCCGCCCGGCCATGTCGGACCGTCAGTGATATCAGCCATACGGTCCGAGTCCGGGCCGATCAGGATGCCATGATCTGGCACTGAGTCTCCCCCGCACTGTCTCCCCCGGGGCTGAGTGGGCCTGAGGGCCTGAATACAAGAAATCCCTGCCATTGAGCCCTCAGCCCCACGCAACCCCTTCAAATCTGAGAAGGCGTGACCCTTCGCACCCATCGTGACCCCTGGTGCCGCCATGCTCGAGCAGCTCTACGGAAAGCACGCTGCCGCGCTCTATGCCCAGGTGCGGAGCTTCTCTCCCTCTTGTCCTGACCCCTTCTAAGTGCATGCCTCTCTGTCTTCCTCGTGGCTGCGAGTTAGTTGTCTGCTCTCGAACTGATTTCTTGACCTGTTGACTTGATTGGTCTGTGAAAACGAGAACTCTGGAAGATGTACTTCATGTATTCCTGTCGCTATGATTACTTTCCTGAATATCACAGCGAACACAATGATGACTCAATTCTGTATGCATCAGTGTGTTGACCTTTAGTTTTGCACTATGCGATCATTTGTGTGATTGACAGTTCGTTCTCTGGAGAGATGTTTCCATGTTGTTGTGCTGCTTCCATTTGAATGCTTTGTGCTTCTTGGAACAGAATCCTTGTTTCATATTGTTCCTTTGTCATGTTCCTCGAAGGTCAAATCTGTCTTGCTCTTCTAGCTCAAAATCATAAACTAGTACGAACGGAAGCTGACTCAGATCTCCAGGCCGCTGATTTCAACAAGACCGCAAGGTTCTACTACATGAAGGCCCAGGATGCCTACTACCTTGCTAACGCCCAGGTGACTTTCTTGCTGATCTCTTCTGTGTAGACATCTCACTACTCGGCAGGCTTCTTACGATGACTGGCGCCGTGCAAGGAGACAGTGGGATTACTTCTACCGCAGGAAGTAAATCTCATTGTTTATTGCGCGCTAGGGACCACGTGGGTTTAAAAGTGTGGAATAAATCTGGGAGATCCACGTTTGGGTGCGAGAGAGAATGGCAGGGTCATTGGGAAGTGGTTGTGAGGCTGCTGCAACTCAAGTGGTTGGTGAGAAGCGGAGTAGAATCCAGGCCAGTGGATTGATGGCTGGCGAGATGTTTCCGTTGGAATCGAATGTGATCGAGCATGTCCAGCTGTTAGGTGTGTTCGTGCGCAAAGGAGAGGGGGTGGGAACAACATGCCTTTTCAAAGCACACATCTATATTTCGAGCACATCAATCATCAATAGCTTGACTTTAAATTAGTATGGCAGTCTCGTACAAACAGAAGGTCCGGTAGCTGAGGTTAGATGGCAGTTCCAACCAGCTTCGGTGTAGCACGTCGACGAACAACCGTCGTTGTCCAGGTTGTTTCCGTCATCGCACTGCTCACGACCCTGAATAACTCCGTTGCCGCACAAGGATTGAGGATGATGGGTCTGAAAGACTGGGTCGGTTGGCTTGGTGACGCTCGAAGGATCTCGATTCTGCCAGGAAGTTGTTGTCGCGAAGTAGGGCGAAGGGCCAGGGCTGACTCGCAGCGGCACGCTGCTGCTCCTTGGCTGGTACACGGAAGCATCGTTGGAGTTCGACACTGGGTAGCCGACAACGATGGACTCGAGCTCGATGCTGCCTTTGCCGGGGGGCGTCTTGATGGTGAAGTCAAAGGACCTCTGGGAGCTGCCAGCTTGTGTGCGGAGCAAACTTGCAAACTTGTTCCTCGGGATGACGATGCTGTCCACGTAGTAGCTCTGGGGAGAATATTGAGTGTAGTCCTTCAAGAACAAGTTGCCCAGATGCTCGCCATTCTCACCCGCCAACAGCTGGAGGTAGTTGTAGCCGTGAGGCCATTCCTTGTGCTGCTCCACGTATTCAGGGTATTCATATCGGATCACATCAATCTCCTCAGCAACGTAGGTCTCTTGATTGGACATTCCGCTCGAGATGGTTGTCTGTCCGCTGACCCCAGGGAAAGGGTGAATCGTGTACAGCGTGTTGCTAGTTGGAACGGAGGAAAAGGGAACATCGACCATCACATACTCTGTCGAGGTGCCCACTGAAGACCGAATGATAGTCCGAGTTTCCCCCACCGCACCGCCTGTATCCTTGAGAATCACTTGCAGATTGTATCCGACGCAAGACGGCTCAGAGGGCTTGGCAGTTGGCGCAGAGACATAGAAGCCGCCGGCAGCAGTGATGGTGATGCTCGCGATCTCTCCGTTGGAAACTGTGTAGGTTGCCTGTGCTCCTGAACCTCCGCCCCCCTCGAAAATGATCAGGCCGTTGACTGCACATCCGCTCATGGATCCTGAAATGTTCACAGAGGCCACCGATGTTGAGAGGGTGATCTTTCTGCCCACGTAAGAATCCTTGCTCACGGCTGCGTGGCTGTCCAGGTAGAAGCTGGAAGTACTGGCTTGTGTCGTGACGACACTGCCAGTGACGTAGTTCGTCTCAAGAACCGTGAATTGCTGGTACACAGTAGGAGGGCCTTGTCTGGGGTATCGCGTTCCTAGTACACCGCGACATTCGGGAAGCCCATCTCGGAGTTCACTAGTGCCATGGACGTTGGTGTAGGAAGCAGGGATAGCCTTGCTGCATGAATGCCACTTGATGTCATAAACATATCCGGACTTGATCGGCCTGGGGAATGTGGCGATTGCGATGGCACTAGCGCTGTAGTACTCTTGGATTTCGGCAATATACCAGATGCGATATATGGACGTCTGGTCGGGGATGACCTGCCATGGTTCGCTGACGTAAACAGTTCGACTGGCTCCATGATAACTGTCAATCAGTCTGGTTTGCCCAGCCCCTGTTCCATCTTCGATGGTCACGTACAGACCAGTGTACGCGTTGTTAGTACTTGAAGATGGACGAGAAACCCCTCCCAGGAGCTGCATTTGATCCATGCCTTGTCCTTGGTTGAAACCTGCTGGGCCTTCAACATAGGCATATCCAAAGGAATAAAGGTGCGTCCAAGTTTGAGCTTGCGTCTGCAGCTGACCACGGACAACAGTCAAGTTGGCAGTGGAGCCTGAGGTGAAAACAACTGCTGTGACATACACTATTTCCTCCTTGGGCGACCCAGGGATCAAATTTCCTTTGTCTGTCAATCTCAAATACATATTTGGAATGATTCCCTTCGCATCTTGCACTACTAGATTCGTGGAAGCAACACTGACGGAGTTTTCTAGATACGATTCCTTGAAACCGGCAAGTCCATCAGAGGGATACAAGTTGTTGTAGTATCCATCTCCAGCTAACTTGAGCACCCATGCCTCGACATTCCTGGGACTGATTGAATTGGACCTGCCTGTCGCAGAATCCCAGGAGGAATAGATGGAAAGCTTTGCCCCAGGGTCGTTGCTGATGACTTTGGCTGTACCATAAGTGTATGTCACTCTCAAGTCAACATTCTTGAGACAGTCTGTGACAAGGTTTTCATAAATTTGGAAAGGACGATATATTTTGTACACAGCATTCACTGTGAAACCTCGCTCCAAGGGTCGATCCAAATAAGCATATCTTGAAGTCGTGAACGAATTGATGACATATTGTTGAGTATTTGAGTCTTCCGAGATTTGAATGATCATTCCTGTGTAATAATTTTGTACAGACGATGACTGACTGTCTAAAATGACATAGGCATCTCCCAAGCTAGAAGCATTCTGTAAATTCAGTCCTGATGAACCGACCAAACTTTCGCTGGTGATATCTGAGATCGTAGAACCGAGTGTTGCCATTCGAGCAAAGATGATATAAGTCGTAGATGACGTTGGAGTCTTACCCAAAGGCGAGTCGAAGGTCAGAACGTAGTTGCTGCTATATCCCGCAACAGTCCTCGTATAAATATCGTCTCCCGTGGATGGATTTCCATCAATGTCGACGGTTATCTGCACTCCAACATAGAAATCCTGGACTGCAATACCTCCGCATGAAGCTGTCTGACATATTTGGATTACGCTGGAGTTGTAGACTTGAGATACTGTCCCTTCATACACGCCGACGTAGGAGGAAACATTATGCATCTCCCAAGTATTTTGAGCACCCAAGATTCTGACTTCATAGCCCACATAAGCATTGGCATAGGTTGACGCTGAGCTATCGAATCGGACCATCTGGTTGTAACGAGTCTGAATGTATCCAACTTGCAGGTTTCCTGTTGCGCAGGTAAGTTGTGGATCAAGAGCAAGAGCAACAGATCCGGTTGAAGTTCCACCATCCCTTGAGTTCCTTGCAAACTGAGAGACGAGGTCTGCACTAATACGGTAATTGTTGGAGGTGCTAGGAGTTGCTGACAGCGTGGGATACAAGTATGCTGTTTTTGTTGCACCATTGTATCCTGAAATGGTAGCTGACAGTCCTGCAGCAGTTTCGAGGGTGGCTGTGATGACAGCGTTGCAACTATCTCCCGCAGCAAAGGAGATTGTTGGAGCACTATCATAACCCGTTCCTTTACTCACAAGGGTGACAGCATTCACAGCTCCACCGCTCACAGTATATGTGGCTGTGGCTCCAGTTCCTCCTCCATTGGAAATGATGAGAGTACCTGCGTTTGTGCATGTCGTTCCGCCACTCTGAATATTGAGTGCTGAAAGGGGACCAGAGAAAAATATCTTCATGCCAACGTAGATATTGTTGACAGCAGAGGATGTACTACTCAGCTGTACATGGTCAGTGCTGCCCGCCTGCAAGTACCCGGTTGCACATGGGGAATCTTCCGTGCAAGTATCGATCGTGCTGGAATCAGGATCGACACAATCGTTTGTAATGCAATTCGAATAGGCGGACACTGCCAAAGTTGCATCAGCATTGTCAATTCTGTGGGTTTGAGGACAACACTCTGTACCATCTGAGTTCTTGTAAACCCACATGCTTCCCATGTCAGAAACAGTATCCTTGTCGACCCTCATTACACTGAGGCCATCTTCGACACCATCATAAGCAAATTTCGACCTCACTGCCTGACCAACATGACGAGTGACGTATCGAACGTGTTGCTGCCATGTTGCTGCCACGAAAATTGTAACATCACCGGCAGGTAGAGGGAAATTTGGCTGTTTGAAAAAGTAGGAATTAGGTCTTTCGAGCGATGTGCGAATATAAGGTCCAGAATTGATAGATTGCATGAAACAATGCAAGAGAGGGAATGACAAGGTAAGAGGACTGATTCTTGAGGCTCCCTCTGCATTTTGACTGAATGCATTTGAAGCGGGCGATGCATAGAGATACAACTTTATCTGATCATTACTGGTCATGTTGATGAGTTTGTCACGAGGAATTCTCAGAGTGTCCGTGTAGTTCACCACGGTATTTCCCATCGTCCACCGGTTGTCGGCAGGAATACAGTGAGATGGAGCCACTGGAGAAGTTGTATCACAATTCGTGACATTGACAAAGGGGATGGGAGACGGCTCAGGTCCAAAAGAAGTCGTTGAGTACATGGGATTGCCTTGCATGTGACTGCGCAGACTTTCAAATGATTCCTTCCTGAACAGATCTCCAATCTTCGTGAAATTCTCATCGTATACACTGATGTATTTGTTCAGCGAGAAGATGTCTGCTCCTACTGTCACGCTGAAGGAGGCATCACCCGATGGACTTCCCATACTCCCAGGGGGCACTCTGTAAATGACGGAGACATTCAAAGGGTCAGATCCTGGCACGCTGGCAGAGGCTGAGAATCGATAATCGGTAGCATACTTTTTCGTGTAACAGATGCCGGCAGTGAATCTCAACCTCAAGGATCGAAAGATCACTTTTCCATCGAGTTCACACCCGATGCAAGCTGTGTTGTTCCCACAGTCATTAGATCCTGAGCCAAAGTTGCAATGAAATGTCGCTCCACCACCACCAACTCCTGTGAAAGTATTTGGGACACTACCATCTTTAAAGGATCGAAACGTGAACTTGAGCTGACCATCAGCAGAGTACTGCATCATTCTATCTTGCGAAATTGCGATTGAGTCTATGTAAGGAGTACTTTCTGAAAATTGAACTGGGCCCTCCATATCATTTCCAGGCATCCATGGCTTGCAATGAGTGTTCTCCTTGCCGTAAACTCCAGGTTCGACAACGTCATTTCGACCTCCCCTAAAACCCTTCTGTTCAGGTCTGTAACCAAGTGGATTGTTAGGGTCTGCAGGCATCCCAGTGCAACCTGTTTCTGGCCCATACGCATTGTAAGGATACTGCCCTTCATACATATACGACAGGTTCCCACTGAAAAGAGCACCAAGGTAAACTCCATCTTCACCATACACATGGATGCTTGTGCCAGGGCTGGCAATATCTCCCTGCGCCTCCACGGTCAAGGATGCAGAAGAGCAGATCTCGGGAACGGAACCGAAGTAGTAGTCCTTGACAAACGGCATGCGAATAGGAATACCCTTGATTCCAATGTTCTGATTTTTGGTTGCGGTTGTCCAAGATGCCGGTTCATTCAGTCCAGGTCCCTCAAAATCATACGAGCACCGAGAGAATCCGCTATTGTATTGACCAATTCCACCACCCTTGCAGCGATCCACATTTGGTGGAACGAAGTATGGTCTTCCTTCATTATAATCAGTTCCTTGAACGATTTGTGCTGCCGTCGACAAGTCATACGGTCTCGCAAAATTGCTTGGACAGTCGCCAGCCATGCAGCAATAAGCATCAGGAGATTGCATGCAACCTGGCCGATCAAACACAATTTCATAGTAGTCGTTACTAACGCAAGTTTTGGAAGTGCAACATGTTTGCGAAGCAGCAGGAGGGCTTGTCGAGCTGGAGTTCACCAAAGTGCCATTTATGAGTGTTTGAACTTGACTTGTTTCACCTCCTTTGTTGAGAGATCCTTCAATGATAGAAACGTTCCTCAGCCAAGTTGCCTCGTTTCCAGGAAAATATGAACCTCTGATCCAAATTCCAGTCATAGTTTGTAAGCACTTAATGAATTCGTGCTTCGTTGGATTTCTGGACACCAATTTACCATCTCGCGGGAGCTTTACATTGACCATTTCCCATTGAGAACCATTCCTGGAAGTGAACGTTTCATCAAGGCGAACATTGTACAGGTGGCTGAGGTAAGTTGGATCCTCACTGAATACACCCTTGATGCCCATAGTGAACTTCTTCTTGCTAGACACTAATTGCACATCATATGCAGGCATCGGAGGTAAACCCATGGATTCATACTCGTAATGCCCGAGGTTGTATGTCAACCACCTATCGTTAACATCATTAGAGTTTCAAACAACAAAACATGCATATTTACCCATTGTAGGCTAAGGTCATATCACCAGGGAGAAAAGTGCTTGGAGATGCAAAATACCAGATGCCGTTGGTGACCTGACTGGAATCCATAGCTGCAAGAGATTCGCCTTCTAGAAACAATCCTTGTTGCGACCAGCCAGCTCCCTGATGAAAAGTCACGGCATCAGTGAAGTTAAATGTAGACAGGTTGGCACAGCAAACCTGTATGGTCCAATTCTGTAGTCCGAGAAAGAAATCCGAAACTGTTAGTACGTCTCCGGGCATTCCCATCGCTGACTTGTTGACGACAAGGAGAGATACCAAAAAAAGATATGCTGCGAAATGATTGATACGCATATTGACCAAGTAGTCTTGTGACAGACGAGCTTTCTTTCGCCTCCTGCACTCAGCAGAAGTTTTCCGTCTGCACCTCAAGAACGAACAAGGGTGCAGTGTCTTTGTGTTACAAACTGAGCGATGGCAGTAGAAAGAGAGGATCAACTAAGGACAAAGTGCAACAAGAGCAGCCAAGCAAAGAGACAGAGAGAGAGAGAGAGAGAAGTCCTATCCTCTTGTGACACCTCAACCCTTCAACGCCGCGCTGAAACCATGGCGCATACTCAGGGGTGAAACGGATAGGGTTAGGGGTTCTTAGCCTGGGGTGGCGTGGGTGGCTATCTTCTCAAGTACCCCGTCCTGCTACTCACAAAGGAAGGGTGAGGGATGTGGCTAAGGAAACGGTTGGGAGCAATGAGGTAGGGGGGAGATGGGAAGATGAGGGTCGGGTAGGGCTTAAATAAATTAGTAGGTCCGCAATGTTGTTCTAGCAAGGATAATGTATGCTACCGACCTTGGGTGGTCAAAATCTCTTTTTAAAGCCACCCCGACGGCGGTTGAATTATCCTTTGCTGCTATCAAGTGAGCCTGCCCCGGACCGGGGCTACCGTACTGGGCGCGGCCCGGCGTCCCACCGTCTACCCGGCACTGGCTTGACTGGCAGCTTCAGTGGAGCCCGGCCTAGTAACTTTGAAACGCTCGGAGCGGCAGCCCGGCCGGCGGCGTGACTCGGATCGGACCGGTCACCGTCCGAGTCCTGCCACTGTGACACCAGCCAGCCTGTGACACGCCGGTCAGTCGGCGAGACGGTGACCGCCTTAACGGGGCCGTACTCTTACTCAGTCAGGCTGAGTATTTTGAGGAGTCAGACCCCTCAGAGTCTCATCAGGCTGCCGGGCCGCAAGCCGGGTAAAACCGTTACAATATGACAAGCGAAAACATAACCGCCAAAAATTCCGCCCTGCATTTTTAACAAAAGTTTCAAAAGTTGTATTAAAATTTCAAATTTTTAGATAATTAATTATAGTTGCAAGACCAAAAGAATGAGGGAACCCCACCTACGCAGGTAAACATTGTGTCGATGACGCAGCCACGCGGCAGGCATGGCAGTGGAAGAGGAAAATGCAATGGGATGCAATGCAGAAGATATGGTAGACACCGAAGCAACGATGTTTCAGAGAGAAAATTTACCTGGAAAATGTGTGATGCATGTTTAGGGTGCTAAAATCCATGTGATGTAATGAGAGTTCTGGAATTGATACTGGGAGTTAGTTTGGATAGAAAGGAACGGTTCATTATGATCGGATAATTGTTTAGTTCGATGTTAGATTCCTGATTCGCTGAATTCTTACGAATATTTTGTTCAGATTGAAGAAATTCATCTTCTTGTCAAGTTCTGCGAAGAATTTGATTCGCCCTCAAGATTTGTGCTTACGCAGCAGCCACTTGATCTTTGAAGGTTGGCGTGCGGCGGCAGAGGGTTTTAGCAAAGGTAAGTTGTATGATCTTTCACGAATTTTCTTTCTGTTCTACCTCTTTGCTCTTTCAACGTATTGCAGTGACATGCACTACCAATGACTTTCTTTTCAGTCTGAAGGGATCAATTGAAAATGTTCGAGAAGACGCTTTCGGATCTTGTGAAGGGTCTTAGATCCAACAAGCGACGTGAAGCAGAGTATGTATCCAAATGTATTGCAGAGATCAAGGAAGAGCTTCAAAGCAAAGACAAGAGTCATACTGTCAAGGCCAACGCGGTGGTAAAGCTGGCTTATTTGCAAATGCTCGGATATGATATGCAATGGGCTTCCTTTCACATTGTCGAAGTGATGTCATCTCCTGGTTTTGCTCAAAAGCGTTTAGGATATCTTGGTGCTTCCGTATCCTTTAATGATGAAACAGAAGTGGTGTTACTCTGCACAAACATGTTCAAGAAGGACTTCCAAGATGCTAGCCCATTCGTAGTTGGCCTTGCCATCAATTGCTTGGCCAATATCTGCACCACAGATCTTGCGCGAGACCTGGTTGCTGATGTTGTGCAGCTCATGAACAGCAACAGGGCTTATGTTAGGAAGAAGGCAGTTCTGGTCATGTACAAGATTTTTCTAAAGTTCCCTGACGCTCTCCGACCTTCGTTCCCCAAACTCAAGGAGAAATTGGAAGACAGGGATACTTCGACGGTATCATGCGCTGTCAACGTGATTTGCGAGTTGGCCAGGAAAAACCCTCAGAATTATCTTGCGCTAGCTCCCATCTTCTTCAAACTACTCACGCACACAGCGAACAATTGGATGCTAATCAAAATCGTCAAACTTCTAGGAGCACTATGTCCTCTGGAACCACGCTTAGGCAAGAAATTGGTCGAACCTCTTACCAATTTGATTAATACCACACCTGCAAAATCGCTTCTTTATGAGGCAATCCATACAGTGTCAGTTGGTATGACCCCTCATTTGGAAATTGTTCAGCTTTCGATGGAAAAGTTGAAGGATTTTGTTGAGGATGAAGATCAAAATCTGAAATATCTTGGCTTGTTGGCTATGGGAAATTTCATGAAGGTCCATCCAAGGATTGTAGCTGAGCACAAAACAATGATTCTCAAATGTTTGAATGATGAAGATATCACGATTCGCCATCGCGCCCTTGATTTGGTTTCAGGGATGGTTACCAAGAAGAATCTACAAGATATTGTTCGTATTCTTATGGAGCACGTTGACAACTCTGAGGGAAGTTTTCGGCATGATCTCGTCGACAAGATAATCGAGGTGTCGTCAGCAAATGGATACGCTGCGGTTACCAACTTCGAATGGTACATCACGACTTTGTGCAAGCTCGCCAGAGTTCCGGGTGTTTGTAACGGTCTGAATTTGAAGAACCAGCTGATGGACGTCATCATTCGTGTCAGAGCTGTTCGTGAATTTGGAGTTGCGGCTATGGTTGACATTCTCCGCGACATTGACATGTTGTCTCAGTGCAGCAGGGATCCTACCTCAGCTGAGGTGATGTATGCTGCTGCCTGGTTGGTAGGAGAGTTCTCTGACCTGCTCGAGGACTCAAAGAGAGCTGGAGTTATGGATTCTCTTCTCTCCAAGAGGGTGATGTGTCTCCCAGAACATGTACAAAGTGTGTACCTGCACAGTGCTTTGAAGATTTACGTCAGTGCTTCCAAAGGCTTCTCACCAACAGGAAATCTCCTAGAGGATGAAAGCATCTCGAATCACACTGGAGATCTCCTCTCCCAAGCTGAGACTGCCTCATCCCAACTGGGGGAAGCGGCTGCAAACCCGCAGAATGACTTGGACCTTCTCCTAGGCTCTGATCTTCCTCCGATGCAACAAGCACCTCAAGTCGCTGAAGCTGCCGCAGTCCCTTCAGGTGCCGTACAAGCGAGGCCAGCGAATGTCCCCTCTGCTCAGCTATACAACATCTTGGACGAACGGCTTCCGGCTTTTGAGAAGAGCACGCTGCTGGAGGTGCAAGAGCGAGCCTGTATCTGTCATCACCTTTTGGAACTTGTAAAGGAAGCAGAATCTCTTGGATCCGAGACCATTCTTCAAAGCCAGTTCGAGTCGATGTTTCTGGACGAGCTGAAGCCCGTGGCACCCAAAGCTCAGTCAAAAGTGCCAGTTCCTGAAGGCCTTGACCTTGATGCAAGAATCCATGACGTTGAACTAGAGGATGAGCCAACAGAAGATGAAAGTGAGCACTCAGCAAATGAGCAAGATGAGGACAGCGATGGCGAGAAGAAGAAGAAGAAGAAGAAGGAAAAAAGTTCAGGATGGAGTGAAAATGACTTCATGGGCTCAGACAAGTTTGCAATTAAACCATCCAAGAAGGAACTGAAGAAGATGCAGAAACAAGCTGAGAAGGAACGCAAGAAGAGAATCACGGATCCGTTCTATCTTGGTGCCAAGACCGCATCAGAGGAGCAAGCTGTCTTGCTTGATGCTCAGGAAGTGGAGGCTATTCCGATCTTCCATCTCAGTGATGATGAAGAGGGGGGCAAGAAGAAGAAGCGAAAAAGCAAGAAGAAGAAGAATGACAGTGACGAGGATGACGGGCAGGACGAGCCGTCAACTCCGAACTCTTCGAATGCTCCTCTTGTACACATGGGATACGAAATGCCTGACGCGGATGGCGATGACGAGGATGCCAACGAAGACGCAGGAGCATCGCGAGATGAACTTGCTGCCAAGCTTAATGTGGACTTGTCGAAGCCCCTGAAGGCATCTGAGGTCCTTCCTACCATCAAACAATATGAACGCAAGTCGCGATATGAAATTGAAGAGGAAGAGAGGAAGAAGAAGAAGAAGGAGAAGAAGGAGAAGGAGAAAATGAAGAAGGAGAAGAAGGACAAGAAGAGCAAGGAACACGAAGATGATACGAATTCAAAAGATGATCTGTTGGATTTTGAAAAGCTCTCAGAGGACAACAAGGATTCAGAGCAAAAGGATGACTTGTTAGATGAAATTTCATCTTCCAAGCCGTCAGCGCCAGTACAGAATCGATCGGCCTTGGTTGCCTCTGACGACCTTGATCTCCTTTTTGAGACAAAATCTGCATCATTGCCGGAGGAAGTTGTGGTGAGTGGGTGACGAAGAATATCCATAAAGTCTGACTTATTGCATAGGACAAGGGTGGGAAGAAGAAGGAATCGAAGAAGAGCAAGGATCACAGCTCCAAACGTAAGGATGAGACTGAGAGCGAAGAGGAGAGCGAAGAGGAGGACAAGAAGTCCAAGAAAGACAAGAAGAAAGACAGCGGGAAGAAGGACAAGAAGAAGAAGGACAAGAAAGAGAAATCAGACAAGAAGAGTTCCAAGAAGGATCGGGAGAGTCCGCGGGAGGATCAGTGTCCCCGTCTCATCCCTCGCTCGCTTGGGAGCGACAAGATGATCAAGGCCACTTACGAGGCCAAGGCTGCTCTCGACTCCAACGCCAAGGTGCCGCCGGTGATAGTGACGGTCACTTTGACCAACACGGGAGACTTCACCTTGCAACCGGTCTCCATCAACGTGACTACAAGCATGAATGTACGGCTCTCCACTCCTCCCAACGAGCTGCAGCTCCTGGGCCCTGGCAGCTCAGCTGAGATCAGGATGGAGCTGGTGGTCGCCAGCGTTGGCAAGCCGCACAAGGTCAAGTGCTCGATCAAGTACGAGGCGACGGGCGAGGGTGCCCCGGCAGCTCCGATCACAGTTCCCTGTGAGATGCTCCTCCCTTGCTCCTCCTTCCTCGTGGCACGGGCGATGACCCACGACGAGTTCAACTCTCTCATCGGCTCCAACTCAACGCCGCACAAGTCAAGTGCTGTGATCGAAGCCGGAGGGAGACCATTCAAGCACTCCCTCCACCTCCTCGCCTCTCTCCTCAACCTGCGGGTCGTTCACTCTATGGATGGAGCCGCCTGCCTGTACGCCATGTCGGTACTTGGCCACCATGTCGCAGTGCTGGCGAAAGCGAAGGGAGGAAGCATGGTTAGCGTTGACATGCGATGCAGCGATGAGGCGCTGTGCCAGCAGCTTTGCAACGAAGTCTCGGGGCTGCCGTTGTTCATAGCCCAGTGAATGATTTTGTAAGAAACTTTGAGGGGCAGGAGAGGGGCAGGAGAGGGGCAGGAGAGGGGCAGTTTTTTCATTCAGGGATCCAATAAAGGCAGCTCATTAGGGATCGAATAAAGGCAGCATTAGCGAATCTCTTAAAGATCTTCCTCAAGCCTCACCTCTAACTTGTGATTCAAACTCTGCTTCAAACTTCGCGCGAAAGTTTCAAAGTTCGTTAGGACCCGCTAAGTTCAAGGTCGATCGAACATGTGGGCCCAGAATGAATCATG